TTCATCCCCAATTCTTCATTCAAAGATTTTAAAACGGTCGCTTTTGACTATAATTTATTCTTCGATCTGTCAACACCCTCATGGACTAATAAGTAGGCCATGAACACCCTCTTTTTAGTTTTCTTTATTATCTCCTGTGTTCTTGCTTGAAGGAGCCTACCAGGCTTTAGATCATTCTGTATGGATTCCCGGCTCTTTACATCAAGCATTCCTCAACATTCCAAATTCCAAACATCTTACAATTTGCAGGCCTTTTTGATGGTTAAAACGTCATCGCTTTCATGGCTACGACACAGCATGAAATTTCCCATGAGACAAATACCGTAAAGAACTTGCTTGTCATCCAGTACATGGCAGAGGTTTCTTATGGTGGGTTTATACTTCTACAATCATTGCGCGGTTCACAATCACTAGATCATTAAACCAATAGAAACAAAGATATATTGTGCGTGGCTAACCAACGAAACGATACCTTCGTTTCTATTGGCTATATCTCAAAATAATTGGGCACTTCGAGAAATCCGAACAGCTCAAGAAAGTGACAGTGATGTACGTCTGATTATAAATTGGAAAATGGAAGAGAGGTACCTCTATATAGGGTGATTCAAATTGGAGGGCCACCATGGGGATCTCGGGAACTGTGAGAAATAGATAGGTAGATTAAATTTGGCAAAGTTGCGCATTTTGATATTTAACAAAATGCAGTTTTGAAACTGCCAAAAATCCGACTACTTTCGGAGATATCCGGAAAAAAACGAAACTTTGCAAAATCGTTTTTATTTTTTACTGAAGTTATTTAAAAAATATTTCGAAATTGACCGCATTATAATGGCCACTTTTTTCCCTCTACCAGATGCTACTTCAGATATCAAAAATAGGGTTGCACCATCAAGGTCGAGTTATAAAACAACGGTCGCCTGGGTGAGATGATACAGTTTTAAGAGAGTGGCAGTGTAGCGAATAATCTAGAATGGGATAAGAAACGAAACCGGATGTGACGCATTTGTTCGAGAACTTTCTGGAACACTCGGGAGCGTTCGAGAACTTTCGCGAAAGAGGGGCGTTTGCTATATTATAATAAAATCGAATTGCGTTTTAACACAGCTCCAACTTTAACGCGGAATTAATAAATAGTTCTCGCTGTTATAAATTGCGTGTATGTGAGTGATAAATAATATTTTAACTGTTATAAATCAATTCATTTCAAAACGTAATTAAATTTACGTCACAATAAAGTGAATATTGTTAAATGAAGCAAAAATTTATGACACTTTTCATATTCAGTCGGCTTTGATTTAACGAAAACGTTTGCGGATATCTCAAAAATCAAAACATAAATGAAATAGATGTGCAAATATAGTATAAACTAATTTATGCGCAACTTTATGGATCGAGGAGACGTTGTGACCCGAATGACAAACTGTGGGGGACGATATTAATATGAAACTTAAAAGTGGACGTGGTGACCAGAGTCAGGCAGTGAGCGTTGTTATCAGTGGCCGATGTGTCCTAGATCTCCAAGGTTTGCATATTTTGCCGTTGTCTGTCCGTCTGCCCATAGCATGATTTTTCGAAAACGAATGGTCCGTTTACGATGAAATTTTGCAGGTGGATTCTATATCAAATTTTGGGATCGGAGTTGGTGAATTGGCAATGCAGGCCAAAATCAATATTGGAATAGCTTTAGCCATATAATACGAAAAGTTGGGTCTAATCGATTCAAAATTTACAGTGCCCTTTTCAGATCTCGACCATTTGCCAACTTTTTTTATTTATGAAAGAATAAAATTTAATAAATAAGCGCCTGGAATAAAAGCAAATCTAAAGCCAGTTTCCAAAATTTGCATTTACTAAAAATTTCGGATAGAATTCAAAAATCGCCAGGTTTGGTGTATCTTCCAATCATCAAATTTACTCCCAGATTTAAATAATTTTAGTGGGAGAGCTTAATTTCATTTCGGATTTGCATTGTTTTTTTGGGGTCTTTGTTCATGGTGCTTTGTTAAGATCGGGCTATAGGGAATTCAATGAAAAACCATCCACTTAAAGAAATAAGTAATTTCAAAAAACAACTTCTCCCTACATCTTGCAGGGAATTGAGACAAGATAAGTATAAGTAATAAAAAAAACTAATTTACGGCATACCATAAATTCATCTGGCACGTACATTATCACAGTATAAATTACACGATATTAATTGCTTTCTTTAATTACAGCTTGGGTAATCCCCTCCAACGTTTAGAAAATTACAACTAAAAAAAACAGACAATTTACAAACTTGAATAAATTTTGCTAAATTCCCAAGTCTCATTAGCAAAAAACCGTCCTTAATGGTCACAAAGTGCGAGACACCCCGCAAATTTAACTTTAATTACTTGACCCATGAATTTCTCGTCAGCGTATTCCCGTTTTAATACAGCGTTCACTTCAGTCGAAATACGCGAAAAGTTATAAACAAGTTTTCTTTTATAAGTTTTTCCCTTCTTGAACAGCATGGGGCGTGTGACAGACATGCAAAATTGAGATTTATCGATACATCTCATCTTATAACTCATCTTACAAGAGTACAACTTTTGGCAAACTTCCATAGCCATCTCTTGAACTCGAGTACTTTCTCGCCTGAGTTATGAGGTTATAATGTTTATCGCATGTCTGTGTTGTTCAATATTATTCTAATAGGTTAGTAAAGCATTTTTTTGAGTTAATAGGTGAAGTGACTAAAATTCACTGCAGTCCAGTTCCCTACTTTTTGTGCCTATATGGGATGATTAAAAAAGCCCAAATTTCAGGGCGACAGAGAGTTTTCGCCCGCAGAGAAACCGAAATTCAGTAATACGGTTTACTTTTCGCAAAAAAAAGGTAAGAAAAGCTGTAATGGCAAAAATGGGGGTCGCCACCGTAAGGTGGTTTGTGAACACCCCCTGACCTGACGCGCAGCAACATCGCCGGCGCGAGTTTCGGATCAATACCACACTTACCCTCTGCCCGAATTTGCAAGTTTCCCATTTCAGACACACAATAGGCCTTCAATTCCCATGAAAATTAACAATAATTGCTCGTTTCTGTTAATAAATTGTAATACAACCCCCTTGCTGCGCTCTTCGTCGTCATCGGAATAACAAAAGGATCGAAAATCACCGCTTCCACGTATTTAGCAAAGCGAGAGACTGCATGTTGGAAGCCTCATTTTGCCATTGTCGTGTTAACACGTGCTTTTTCCTTAAAAGGTACTTTAGAAGCCTTCCAAACGCTTTGAACGTAAGAGCTTTTAGTTATCTTTGGGTGTACGTGTAAGGGAAATAATGCGCAAATGAAACGTTTTCAAAGAAGTGTCATTCGGGAAAATCCACTTAATCTGTGTCGCAAAATAAAAATATGATTTTAAAAATTAATTTGGGAACATCGTCATTGCAAGGATGTGTTGCAGTAACACTAGAAACTTGACACACTAATTATTTTCCGAGAAATCGTGATTTTATTTTCATTACTCTGAGAAATATAGGTGGATAAATTCCACATACCCATATTGTTCTCGAAACAATGAGCCATAAATTCAAAAATGCTAAAAGAGTCTCTCAAACAGAATTTATTGAATAAGCCTGTATAGGAATTATATATTATTATTATTATTATTATTATAGAATAGCGAAAATTCTTGCGCGAACGAGAACATTAAAAAAATACACGAACGAATCTCAAAAGCTCGTTAATAAAAACGATTAATAGATGCACCGCTTAGAATAATTAAAATTCGCAATTTATTCCTGCAACTAATAGAAGCAAATTGGTCTAGTTATAATGAAATGTTATCAAAGTTCATCCAGTTCTACGTCAAAGGTTTCAGGCAGGGCAGTTAATTGCCATTTTATTTAGGTAACACACCCTACCTATCTCGTGGAAATTACACAATGTATGTACATAGGGTGAACTGTGTATAGAAAGCTGTTTGTGTCTCAATCCTTATTTTTAAGGGTTCAGTGATAATGTTTCAATATGTACACGAGACGAGGGTATAGCAAGAGTGTTTGCAGAATGTGATCGGATAGGGAATTTTCTGATTTTTTACACAACAGTTTCATTAAGCGCGATGTGAGCAAACATCGTATCGATTTAATAATTAAATTACGAGTTTATAAGGTTTACAGGTTACGTGTTAAAGGTTACAAAATAGAACCTGATTTCTCACTTAACAATTAGTGTTAAGCAACTGTTAATTAAAAATTGGCGCAAAAAACGGTAACCGTGCCAAAATCAACAAACGGTAACGAAAAATTGCCATGAATTCGAGGTAAATGTGGTTTAATCAATTTGATACAGAGCAAAATCGCATACATTTGAAAGTAATGCGATTTTCATTAGACCGTCTCTTTCACTGTCTGCAGCGTGTATATGACATACTTCAATGCAAGTTCCCATCAGTAAAGACGCCGTTTAATTGTAGGTAATTAATAGAATATAATGTCTTTGACAGATTCTCGTGTTATTTAATTACAACAGTCAATTTATGCTCTACTTACAGCTTAAATATGCATGCAGCGTTCTCTCGATTATATGCTAAATTATTCAGAAAATTCGAGACGAATAGAAACAGATGCACTAATAAGTGCACCATGAGTTCGATTTCCGTGCGTAATTGTTTAGGTAAAAAGTTGAATTTAAACGAAATGTACATTTTTCGTGACTAACCAAGTAAAAACCGAGGTTATCTCGTTTTTAGTAATTACTCTTCCACAAAAAACTTGTAATGGATTACTGCAACTGCTGCCACATTGACGGGATTGCGTTACAGAAATAGACGAGAAATTATCGAGGGAGACAAAACTGCACTTAAATTTAGACGGGAATTTCCTTTATGTGTATTGGAAAACTAAATTTTTCGGGACACCATTAAATTTTTTGACATATTCAAAGGCAATCGATATTTCGCTCGTCATCCCCGCCTATCTCAAATCGTGCAAAGGTGCCGTTTAATTGTGATAATAAGTGAAATCGTCGCCTACCTTTTGCGATTCTCCTCAAGATGATATCTTTGTGGTCTTTGGAGTGCGGTTCCCCGACGACGATGAGTAGGTAGCAACCCGTTAAAGGACTAGGAGCAGGCGGACCGCCCTTATCAAGCTCGGACACGCCGTTCACAGCCTCCATCCCAGACCCTGTACTTCTTCACAGCCCCTAAAAATATTAACTTCTTCAGACGACCCGGAAGAGGTCACGGTAGCTCCGGAGCGAACCGGAAGCCCGACGTATCGCGAATGCCGGCTCGTGGTGCGCTATGCAGTAACCGGTTGCCCCTTACCCCTCTTAGGGGAGACACCCCACTCGCACCCGCACAGCTGATTGTCGTACAGTGGATGGAAATAGGACGTGTCTGCCGCTAGACTAGTAGGAGATTTTCCTGTTGGTCTGCGCGGATTCCAATAGCAAGCTAATCTTCAGTTTGGTTTCAGCAAATCAATAAAAGTTAAACCTTCAGGAAGTGCAAACGAACTTGACGTTCATGAAGGATTAACATTCTATTATAATTTCTCTAAGCGAATCTCCCTCTCATGTCGATAACTAGAGCAGCTCCAAACGTTCATTGTACTTTATAGAATTCTCATTTAAATATCTTAATTAATAACCACGTATAAGGAGACTTTTAAATATGCATAAATTAGAAGGAATCCCCATCACATTTTTACTCATTTACACGTTACATTACACCTAACAAATAATTTTAGGCGGCCTCAATTAACGGCCACGTTATAATCGCAGACAATCTCCCATTTTCGTGTGCAATGAATAATAAGCGCGGTTAATAACGCATATATTATGCTCGCAGTACACACTGTGTTCGCGGTATGACTAATAAGTAATAAATACTGCACGAAAGTAACCCTTGTCAGACGAGAATCCGACGTAACCACCCACTACCCCTAAAATTGAAAGTGACAAGGTATCACTGACTTTCAGTCTTAGAGAACTCAACCCGCTCCTTACCTTAACAAATCGTAGACAAAGGACCATCGCCTTTAAAACTTTACTTTAAACTGGAATGGAGAGGATGCAACATTTTGGCAAGGTGATGAGGCCACATACTTAATTAATGCCATTCTCCATTATAAATAAGTTCCCATCAGTTTAATGACATTATATTCTGCTAAACAATCCTTTATGTGAAACTAATGTTAAATATGCATTCGTAATTTTCACCGTCAATTCTACTGCTTGAATTTTTGCCAATTGAATGTAAAGGCTATCTCGTAATTTTAAAGTCGAATATTTTTAGTCGCCACTCTCATTTAAAGTGGATTTACGAGTAGATAATGTGTGCTAATGCTAATTGTCCAATGACTAAGGCTTCGTCAAGAAACAAAATTTGAATACTCTGACTGGCATGGAGCAGACGAACGGTCATTGAACTATTAATTCTCATCCCTTATAGGCAATCTTCCAAAGTATTGGTCTTTTTAGGCATTCCATTCTACCTTTAATACTCATTCAGCTACGGTACGGTAAATTCAGACGTCAGAATTTGTAATGTCAAAGACCAAATTGCATTGGTCAAAAGGAATACTCTATTATTCCGTTTCGGTTTCGATAGTGCCAGTGAAAATAAGTAAATGTGTTAATTTGGCGTGCTCATTTTGTGCTCTTACGCACTGCTTATGAAAAATGATGTGCTCATCGAATAAAATAAAATTTTGCAAATATTTTAATAGTTTTAATTTCTGAAATATTTACATCCAATTACAGAACACAAAAAATCACTATTGTGCAGTGTGCCAAATTGCATGTGAAAAAAAATTTATGTTGAAAACAAACTGATAATTAAGTACTACTGGGAACTTCCTCAAGATTTAAATAATATTCGCACATTATCTAAATCTAATAATTCTAACAATTTGCAGTTCTGTATGTCTACTCTTGAATTGAAATTATGAACAATTTTGTAACTGTTTATTAAAGGTATACAATATGTTTGTTGCGGGTAGTAAAAGGTACCATTGTTACGAAAGAAATATGCTGGCACTCTAATTGTAGCGTTAGCAAGTAATTCAGGACAGTTCATGGCATTGTTCAGAAGCCTGGAAGCCGAATTACAGATCTATTTCATTGCAGACATCTTGAGAACCGAAGGTCACATTAGGTTCAATGGATTCCGCCCGCGGCATCTTGGTTCTCGTCGAATTGTTAGCGGAGGCCCGCACCCTGGCGAGACGTGTTCCTGGATAAAGACATCATTTTAATATAGTAACACAGAACTTGCACAAGTTAAGCTCTGACGACAGATAATCATAAGAGTAGTGATATAAGGCCGATTCTAACTCAAAAGTTACTAGAAAAGTCACTAGATGTGAAAAAAGTCACTAGAAAAGTAACTAGGTTTGAAACTCTGCTCAAAGTCACTAGAAGGTCACGAGAGGTTTGAAACTCTGCTAACAGTCACTAGAAAAGTAACTAGGTTTGAAACTCTGCTCAAAGTCACTAGAAGGTCACGAGAGGTTTGAAACTCTGCTAACAGTCACTAGAAAAGTAACTAGGTTTGAAACTCTGCGTCACTAGAGAGGTTTGAAAGTCTGCTAGTGATATAGGGGTCGATTCTAAATCAAAAAGTCACTAGAAAAGTAACTAGGGTTGTAACTCTGCTGGCGAGGTTTGCGTCAGTGCTAAGGTCAAGGGATCGAGGTTTGCGTCTGAGCTAAAGTATCGGAGGTTTGTGTCCGAGCTAAGAGTTGAACGCGGGTTGTGTCCTGAACTAAAGTGGGTCTAAGCTAACGCGTTCTCAAAGTCAGAGCTAAAGTAAGTCGGTTTGTGCCTGAGGGTTGTGTTGTCGATGGTAGTGTACGGCCGATTCTAAATCTCACTAGATGAAAAATCCCCCTAGAAAAGTCACTAGAATTGAGTGGTTCTGAACTGTGGTAGCGGGGTTTGCGCCTGTGCTAACGTCAAGGGGGTCGAGGTTTGTGCTCGAGATAAAGTATCGGAAGTTTGCGTCCGAGCTAAAGTAATTCGGTTTGCGCCTGAGGGTTCTTGTCGATGGTAGTGTACGGGTGATTCTAAATCACACTAAAATCCCCCTAGAAAAGTCATTAGGATTGAGTTGTTCTGAACTGCGCTAGCGAGGTTTGCGCCTGTGGTAACGTCAAGGGGGTCGAGATAAAGTATCGGAGGTTTGCGTTCGAGGTAAAGTAATTTGGTTTGTGCCAGAGTCGAGGGTTCTTGGGGTTTGCGTCCGAGCTATTTGGGTCGGAGGTTTGTTGTCAGGTTACGGTGAAGTTTCAAGGTCGTTTAAGGCAATTTGATCGTGGTGGTTTACTTCCGGGATAGGATAATTTGATCGGGGGGCCTTCAAGTAACTAGGTTTGTATCTGTGCTGCGTGGGTTCGAATGTTTTGCTTGTACGGTTCTGGACTGGGGTTTGTAAAACTAGTAAAGCTACTCTCGATAATGTATGGGTCGAAATCACACTAAGTTGCTTTCGAGGTTTGCGTCCGGGCTAACAATTCTATCTCCGTGCAGAAATCTATTACTGTAGATTTCAAGGTCACACTTTGGAAATATAAGGTGAGCTGCAGGACGTTTTTTCATTCAGTCCGATAGTGCTTTCCAAACAGTTAAAAAATGGATCTTAATGCGCTCAACAATGGAACATTCTGTAAAGCATTTAAGAACGTAAAGGATATGGAAGTGGAGGAAAAGTTTAAAATTAAAATACCAAAGCAGTGACATTACATTTGATGTGGTACTGGCTATGTCCAGTTTGAATTTCATGCAATTCGGTTCATAAATGGCCCTGTGAAAGGGTATCGTATCGTATAAGTGCCACTTCCTAGGTGCAGCCGTTTTCAGGTCGCATCAACAGCCGTCTGTGTGACTTAGGTAGCAATAGCATCAGTATATCATCCAGGAGATTATGTCCCAGTAATAAGCTGGCAGAACACTGGGAGAAAAACAATAAACAACTCATTATGGACAGGCCCCGAGTTATAAATTTATATATTTTTTACGATTATATCATTATGGCTGGCTGGCTGGCTGTATGACAATTACAATAGTTAGACTTCAAATTTTCACTCAACATGTTTTGCTAATAGTGTAGATGTGCAGGCTCTGGTCTATTTTAAGGTAGATTACTCCTGAGATCGATAATTTAAAACTTTGCTAATAAAATACTGGTCTGTATCCTTTCGGAGGATGCCCCTTGGGTCCTGGCGACTTACAGTACAAAGTAGATCTTTTCTTTTGTCCTCTGAGAACTACCAAATCGGCCTATAACCATCCCTAGTGGTGCAGGGCGCTCGGAAGTAGAAAACTCAGTTGGTTAAACTGTTTAATAAAGTAAAAAAAGCGAAGCTATAGCCGATTAAGAGCATGGAGGAGTTTTAGCAGCTCTATAGAATCCACCTCCCTAATATCACGCCTAAACCAAAAATCTAACAAAAGGTAGCTCTCCTGCAATTGGCACTATAGATGTTATTGTCATCTAACTAGTGAGAATATACAGGATGTTTCATAATTGAATGTCAATATTTAAGGAGTCGATTTTTGGGTTCATTTTAAAAAGAAAACTTCATATGAACGTATGTCTTAAACATCTTAATTTTTGAGATACAGGGTGGTAAAGTTTTCAAAAATAAATCAATTATTATTAATATCTGTAATACCACTTTAGATATTTTAATTAAATTTGGCATGTATGTACCACATTTTTTAATTTCCACCAGTGGCGTTCGTACGGAATTTCACATGCCGATTTTGGCACATTGATGGTACGCCACTGATTTCTCTGAAAATAAAAATTATTCTTGAAATCCCCAATCATTTCTAAGCAAATTTGATCCCTTTGTTTTGTTCATCCCCTGCACGGTTTTCGCTGAAACAAATAAAAACCGTTTCTCTGTATGATCATGACAATATCGTTAATATGACAATATGAAATTCCGACCCTCTGGTCTTCGAACTCCTATGCTGTTCCAAAAATATCTCCAATTGTCAAAGTCAGTGCAATAATATCTATGAATCACGCTTGATAATTTGAACAAATATATCCAGCTCAAAGCCGAAAAAGCTAATAGGACCTTCTGGCAATGGCGCCGCGCAATTGGCAGACTGTGAGGAGCATCCCTGAAACCTGCCCTGTGGCTGTACACGGCTGAATTTGCGTGCCTTGCTTGCACGGACGCGATGCGAACAACTCCCACAGCCGGTATGGAGGCCCTTCTCGGTCTGCCACCCCAGGTGAGAGATCAGGCCACTATGGCATCCTTGCATCTAAAAAATAAGAGATTGTCAAATAGTTGAGGTGGGACACTCTCAAATTCTAGACGAGGCGATTAAGCGATTACCAATCCTAGAAGGGCAATCGGACTCACTCGCTCCTCAATTCATATTAGGGAAGAACTATCGCATCGTTCTTGATGAGGATGCGGAAGCCCAACCAGACATATTCTCCTTTACGAATGAATCTAAAACAATGGAAGGATTTGCTACCAAAGAATTGAATTTTCATATCAGCCAACAACTAGGCGAACTTCCAACTGTATTCCAATCAGGGTTGAGAGGACTAACGCTTAGTGCAAGAAACGTTCTTATGCATAACATAAAGCACAACACTGTCAGAATCCCCAGAGACAGCAGTGTAGCCATGCAGTCACTGTTAAATTACTTCTAGGTTGGTTTCCGAATGTCTGGCCTCAAAACAAGTGTCTTATGGTTCAGAGTCAGCTCTTTATTTCGTGTTGTTATTGAAATTTTACCATAGTGTGGTAACAATAAATGAACCTCTTTATTTATATAACAAAATTCAATTTAGTAACAACCCTAGATTCATTAACTTAATTATACCACCAATTCATAAAACGGCATTATATGAACGATCATTTTCATACAATATTTCTAAAAAATATAATGCTTTAAGCAATAGTTTAAAAAACATACCCGTCGGGAAATTTAAGAAGGTACTTCATAACATTGTTTTTGCTAGGCAAACGTTTGATTTGAGTTAAATTTTATAACCCATGTGACTGTAAGTTATTTATTTTTATTATTATATTTTTTTCATACATTTTGTTTTTCATAAAGTTATTTATGTACTTATTTTTTTCCCATTACAAAGTAATTCGTTATTTTTCTGTACAATTCCCAATTAGATTTTGATTTCTTTTCATTGTAGTAGGGTTAAGTGTAAGAGCAGAATTGGGTCGCCGTGAGTAGCCCAACATCTGAACTTCGCCCTGTTAAATTGTGTGTGTGGCATGATTTAATAAAAGACTTTATTATTATTATTATTATTAATATTGTTTAAATAAGGTTAAATAAAAGCGATAATAGATGCAGTAAACGAAGAAAGAGGTTTGTTCTAGGGGTTGTTGGATGATCAACCATGTAAGACGCGCTTGATATTATTATTTATGATACTGTATACGTGAATATCGAAAGCCACCTTTTCATTCCAATCCCCCTAAATGAAACATGCGATACCTCGAATAATAATGGGGTAATGGCTGCCAATTCGTCTGATGAATATTGTGAATGGCAAACAATATTGTTATTGAATTTTCTATGCAAGGGACACGATATGTGCGTCACTACATCTACATCCTGTCATGCACAAGTTTAGCAAATGTATAGTTCCGAACTAGAAATAGCGGCAGTTGAAACCGAACTAGTTGTATATTGTATATTTGTATAGCATTTATTGCATCTGTTATTAGTATCTTAGTGCTGCGTTCATTTTCTGATTTAAATTCCATACAATTAAAGATAATGACTGGCGAACAACATCTAAGTAATTCCGAATTTAGTTTAACCAATCGTTAAAACGATTGCATTTAAGATAAACTCCATGATTATTATAAGTATGGTGTATAGCAAATAGTTCGTATGGTTACCCAATGAATTTGCAAACTAATAGAGTTTCTGTTTCCTTGTACCCCTGTACTGATCTGAGTTCAAAACGTTGCTGTGAATCAGACAATTTTCAATAATCAAACATTCATTCATCCATGCTTATTGAGAAACTGCATCAAGTGTTTCGTAACGTTAAATATACTGAAAACGGGAATTTAAGTAGGTTCCCAATTAGTACAGATACCTTCCACTTATATTCTAGTCGCATGCTTATGCATCAGCTTTGAACTGGAACTGTGTGCAATGAAGGATCTTTAATGACTGCTCTCTATGGTATCGAAATTGGCCTAGTATAGTAATTAAACGTCGTTATTTTTGTGCGCGTACACAGTGACGGATTAATTATACATACAGCACAATATAGGCTACAGTTTAGGGCTTCATAGGAGTAATGGAGCACTAAATGGTTATGGATATTAAATTAAAGAAGTTTGAATTCTGGATTGCTAGACAGTGATGAAGATTATTCGATTGAAGAAGTGAAACTTTACTGTCCCAAACTAGGCCAGTCATATCATGAAACAGTGAACTAATTGCTGACCGAGTTTGAACTAGGTACATCGAAAAAGTGTTGACTTTTTGAGAAATATAATCAACTAGTCTACATTTGCACATTTTCACTTATTCTGTTTATACAGAGTGGCCCAACGAGAAGTATACAGAGGGCTTTTAGGGTATTAAATTTAGAAATTTCGAAAAATCCTCGAACACGTGAATTTTGTATTCGAGGGGGACAACTTTTGGAATACAAATCACGAACCCAAGTCTTCACCCCTCTACGTAGGGAGCTTAACCCCTAAAATTTTAAATGGAATCCTACGGCAAATGGCACATTATTTGAAAGCCAATTTAATCGTGATTACTAATCTGCTTTGCTTTTTAAATTCTATTGATTCGTTTCGGAGATATTCGCATTTGAAACGTGTTTAGCATCTGCAGCCAAATTTATCTAACTTCGCGATGGATTTATTTTTGAACTCTCTTAACTAAAGGTTCTGGTAGGAATTAGATTCATTTCAATTGACCACCGAACCACCAGAGACACTAGAACAATCTCTGCAGTTACCATACCTGCATGGTTAAAGCGGCTTAAGAAGTTGTGAAATCCACCACTACGAAATCCTCCCTCTTTAATTACCCTTAAATTCCTATTCTGCGCGTGCGCAATGGGTGCTTCAAGAGCTCGCTTTTTCGAAAAGTTTAGCACGTCACGTTCTATTTGCTTCAATTACTGAAACGAACTGAATGCATCAAAAACGTCCCACCAATTGCAGAACTAGAACTAGACACACTTAACTTTAACCATTTGTCAAATTCTAACCCACTCATCTGATCCCGTCTGATCCTAAAAGATTCAATAAAGTTAACTTTTGTGATGATAGCAGTTCCTTAGAGATACTTGGTCTTCCTAAGTACACGCGTGTCACAATTTAATCCTTTGAAGGAGTAACGGTGAACTCCTTTTTACGGGAGCGTAGAAGGGCCAAATAAGTTATTTCTTAATAAGTTACAGATGTACAAACACGAGCTTGCAAGATCTGCCTGGAAATTTACTAAGTAAAGCAACTAGCGTTATAGCATGCCCGTGAAAAGCTCTAGAAAGATCCCGAATAGCCCTAAGAAAGCAAATAATGCTCTGCGCTGCAAGGTTATGAAACGCCTTGATTGTTTTCCAGAGCCTGCTAAGAGTGCAAGAGGTCTTCGTGAAGATTAAATGCCGTACAGCGTTTCATTGTTTTTCATATTATTTCAAGGCTTCTATGATCATGATGGTTTTCAGAGCCTTTTTAGTATGTTACAAGTCATTACCTGTGTTGGACTTGAATTTAAAGATCTAGAAATCATCTAAATATATTGCTCTAGACGTCTCTCTTGTTCGTATAGTAGCGTAGAAGAGACATACAAGTTCAACGAGTGGGTGTATTTTTGTGTTGATAACTGGAATTTTTTTGGATGCTTATAGGTAGTGCCCCAAACGGATGAAGCTGCACATATGCCGTTCGCAAGTTTTTTTTTGTGGGAAATTTTATTCAACAAATTATTTTCTATACATTTCTTTCGGTTATCCTTGGATTTTCAATCAAAAGAGCGCGATCGTAATTTTAGAAAGAAATGGCCATAAGACTTAGTGGAACTGTAATACACTGGACCGAAGTTTTGTCCAAATCTTTCATAAAATCGTATAACGCCATGTGTAAAATACAAATAACTCTTACTCACTCGGCTCACTTGCTCCACTCGCTCGCATAAGCTCTGAATAATAAGCGTCGTAACATGCTCGTAATACTGTCAAAGGATATGCACAAGAATTTTAGATTGAAATTGAAATATATTGAATATATAAGTATATATGTAAATATCAACACCAAAGTCGTTTCCAAGATGCAGAATGGTTCCCAGGACCCCTCCTACGAACACTTAGACCAACAAACATCCATTAGCCTCGTACAGGGAAACCGCCACCGTTTTGGGAAAACCACCCCAACCTGTGGTTCCACCAACTTTATTGCCTATGTAATATGTAAAGATCTGCACAGAACAAAAACTAAAATAACAACTAATAATACCTAAATTAACCGGTAGGTCTTGGTACGTTTGCTCTAAATTGTCCCACAAAGTTACCACGTGGGTCATAGTTGCAGACCAAGTACACTCCGTTGTTGCCTCTTGCAACACCAATACCCAATCTCCGAGAGCTTCGCCAAATTACTTGCGTAAAATGCAAAGCCTTTGTTTGTACAGTCTCGGAATCGTAATTGTAAAATTTGTTTTCATCGTACCAGGCTTTCACCCCTCTCTGTGATATCTGCAAATCTGTTTCTCCAGGATACGAGCCCCAATACAAGTTTTCCCCGTATTTGTTGTTTGGACGGTGAGAAAACGTCGACGTCTTTGCAAGCTGGTTGGCCCATTCTTGCGCATAGCGGTTCATCTATAGAAGTATAATCAGTATATTTTCCAAATGAAAACAAGAGGTTCGAAAGTTAAGAGAATTTCGTGCTTATCATGTATACCTCTGAGTCCAACACCAGCGCAGGTACCCCATGCTTTGCTCGGTACTGATTGTGAAGGGTCAAAACAGCAGTATTAATTTGGTCGTTTCCTAAAACTGTTACACACTTATTAAATGTATAGTTCATTAAAATATACTCACCTGCAAGCACGCTTGCACCTATAAAGCACAGCAATTCCACTCCTACCCTCATGTTTTGAAGTCATAAATGAAGAGTAAAGTAATAGTGCACATTTATAGACTTTGTTATCGGTTTCTTTACGATAGACTTTCACGAACTATGTGATACGTGTGATAAGCCTTCATTAAAAATACCTACTGAGTAAACAACTACCTGAAAACGACTTCCACACTTAATCATATGTAAATGTCAAGTGACGCATGTAAAATTTTTCCTTTTGATAAATCAACACCATATTTCAAGTGAATGTGCAGTAAAATTTAAGCATCGGGTGAATGAACGACGTATTATTGAAAACATTTCATTCATTCCTTTCTAATTTTGCGTCACCGGATTTGTTCACTCCTTCCAACACATGTTTTAAAGAAAGGAAAACTCAAAATCTTTATCCGTAAAAAAAGAAACGCATAAGATGACACTGATAATGGCTCTGAGTTGTAAATTATGTAGACAAGTTTAATAATAGAGAGTGGGTTGTCCTTTTATTCTGGTGTAACTCCAATCTGATTCCAGTAGCCCAAGGGCAAGGGCAATACAATCACATTTGCTAAGGAACGGAGTAGTCACATTTCGAAACATTCCGATGGTTGGGTAATACGAGTTGTCATTTAGTACGAGACGTGCGGTTACTGAATCAACAATCCAATCTGTGTGGAATCTAGAGTCGCCAATGGTTACTTTGCAGAACTGTAACTTTATTATCCGTTAAAGGGGGAGCAGTAACTGGATGGGTTGAGGCAGATGTCGTGGTCGGATTGTCTGGTGCTGTTGAAACCACGCGACAGCGGTTTTTCTGACATTTTATGCATGTCTTATTCCAAGAGCGACCCTCGCATTGAGTGTACGTGGCAAGTTGACGCCTCCTGGACAATTATGTTTGACATTAGCGGATGTTGGTTCTTGGGTTTCAATTTGAATTTAGATCTACCCGCATTTTGAGATTGGTTTTTCTTGTAAATTGGCTTAGGAGCTGGAACGGTAGCTGTGGAAATGGGGATTGATTTAAGTCCTGCTCCAGCGTTGTTGCAGTTTTCAATCGTTGAGCAAATGGAAAGAACCTTATTTAGTGTGATGTCAGAGAAGCTGTAGGAAAGCAATTTTTTGTGTTTGGATATCTTTCCTCTAGTCAACTTGACAGGGAAACAGCAATAATTTTTTCCCTTTCGCAAAATCAATTTTCGACTTCTCGGTTAATTAATTCTTTTCTTTCTTGTGTGGGATTGTCACTGGCAACTTTTGTTGAATTTGGCCTCGGGAATATAGGAAGCTAAATAGAACAATAACATTTATTTATTTGTTAACGCAACGGTTCTTATTCTCTTAAATGCCACTGTTGAATTTTTCCGCGGGTGAAATCACGGGGGTTGAAAGGGGTGGAGAGTGGTATTGTTGATCGTTAATTTAGAGGAATTATGAATAAAATCCTCATAAAGTTTATTCCTTCAAGTTTGACATCTCAAATCATTAGCTTTTGGCCGGTAAAACCAACGTTCTTATTACAGATTTTGCAAGTTTATCAACAGGTCCAACGCAATTGCATCAGCTATAAAACAAGCAGGAAGAAGAATCAGTGAACAAAAATAAATTGTTCAAGAATCAGGAAGCAAGATACATAATTCGATTTTATTTCGAATTGCTTTTATTGCGGTAAAAATGCAGAAAAAAGAAATAATAAAAACTACTAAAAACTAAAACAGTTGAGCATAAGATAACAAAAGAGAATATTTAGGCAAACATTAAAGAGAAGGAAGAAGACAGATTTCGAAAAAATCTTTACTAACATCCAACATGTTGATTTATCATGTCAAAAACCGTGTATATCTTAATACTGCTTTTCCGGTTTTTGGCGATTTTCTCGAATTTTTGCTATAGGAATATTTTTTTATTTTTGTTTATTAAAATATAAGTCTTCCCGAATATTTTGCTACCCCCCGCACCTGTGTACGATGAAAAAAAATAGATTTTTCATCCCCTTGAAAAAGAGGTGTTTTTTCAGAAATCGTGAGATCTTGGAAACGGTTCAACTTTATGGGCCCAAACAATTATCTTCTGTTTTATCATAAAACAGACTATGTTACCTCTAAATTTCAAACCCCTACGACATTTTTTCGCAAAAATTAGAATAAAAAACGAAAAAAAAAACAGCTTTTCCGGTTCTTCTAGGAAAATTGGAGGTTATGTGAAAGTAGTGTAGATACAAAAGTTGCTCATTTTTTTAATCTCTATAACTTTTACATTTAACATTTTCGTCTAAAATCAATAGTTTTACCACAATTTGCAAAATACCACTTTCCACCCTTTTCAACCCCCGTGATTTCACCCGCGGAAAAATTCAGCTGTTTTAATTATTTTTCCCAAATTCTATTCATTCCACCTGCCTGAAAAACCCGGTTTCGCCCGGTAACTAATTGTTTTCATACAAAAATATTATATAGCCTGGACTAATAGTGGATATGATGTAATCATTCCGTTTATTGACACACAAATTGTACACTTTTTCTTTTAATAGTTTGCACTCACTCAATTCTAACAATTTTTGCCCTGCATATGAGCGACACACAGGACAGGATGTGATAAATTAAACTTACAAGTAAGAAACAATAGCATGTTGGGGTTTTAAGGTGTTTAATTAGGGTGGTCCCTTAATCTATTTCTGACATGGAGTTCTCCTCTATACGATTTAATTCCAGGTTAATCTAAAAAGTTGCATTTTTTGTTAATTATAGCGTTCTCGCACATTTAACCCAAATGGCAAGTTAATCAAGTCGTTTCATCCTTAAAAGAAGTTCAAAGGGCTGGTTAGTCACACTGATTGCTGGCAACTCCAATCGAGCTAGCAGATTCAATAATTATTTATTCAAATGTCTTAATTGAGATGCTGCTGAGGAAATTTTTATGATTTATAGTTTTATCATTTTTCATTTCCACGAAGAAACCTCTCGATATTTTATAATGAAATCCTAAATATTTGCATTTACCTACGATAACCGTCAAACTCATATTTCATATATTATTAATTTAATAAGGACTAAAGATTACATTACATGGTGGAATGATTTAGAGCACGTGTAATCGCGTTTAAAAAAGGGAAGAATCAGTCATGCAAAAGCTAAACAACTCGGCCAATTCTCGCTAATAATAATTGCAATTATAACTGGAATAACAAAGGGATTGCCTTTTTATGTAAGCGTCTGATCCAGTAGAAAGTGGGATGGGGATTCAGCGAGTTTTCGTATTGAACAGCATGAAACGCTCATGCGCTGAATAATAGGAATTTTCAAAAAGTCTTCCGTAACAATACATCTCCTTCAAACAAATCGAACGTATGCGTTTCTTTCCATGTGTGAAAATTACCAATTGGCTCAGTCACTCATAACAAAAGCCAAAGCTTTGTTTTTCATTCATCTGCAAAGAAACAATAATGTTCGCTCGTTTATAATAAAAAAATTTATAATTCACCACACGAAGCTTTATTTAGGATTAAGTATTCATTGCTGAGCCTACTGAAATATACATACACAATAAACAACAGTGAAATTCACTTTAGCCAAACATTCAGTTTTCAGTTACAGGAAAAAAATGTGTATGCAAATTGCCAACATGCAAAATTGATACGAAATTTGTATCAATTTCATGGAGTAGAAAGTAAGCGCAAGTAAGGTGGTAACTACATCGCATCAGCTACTTTTCAATTTTAAAAATTTTCCGTATTTTAATATGATGATACATGTGCATGATTCGGAACTATTTTCAGAGCTAACGAAAGTTAAATATTGCCTTGCGCTAGATAGAGAGGAGCCTGGCGAAGTAAATTCAACGCTACTGAATAAACTATAAGCTCACGTCTGTGGCAACCCAGAGCAATTTTCGCCATTTTATATGACTATAACTTAACAAATTTACAGTTTTCTAAACGAGGCAGTAATTATTTATTATTCTACAGTTCGTGAACTCTAATCGATGAGGAAGGGAAAGCCGTGCCCTTCGTGCAATTATTTGATGTACAAAAAGTTACATAGCACTTTGCAAGATTAAAAATACCCCACAAAGCATTTTAGGTTTAATATGTGTATACGCTAATTTAACTCGCGTTTCGCTTTTCTTTACTGAAAACTCTGAAATGCAATTGGTCTTTATCTATTGTGTTTTTTCCTTTTGGTGGAACTTCGTTAAATTGTTCTTATGGCAAGTTTACGCGCAGTCCTCGCACTGTTTGACATACAGCGTGGAATGAATGGCTATTGGCTGATGCTGAACGTCAAAGAGTCGAATTTTCGCAGTGCTTTGAAATATGGCGCTACTACCGAAAACTTAACCCATCCTATTTGGCGAAAGAATATTTTAGTAACTTGGATTTACAATTGAAATATACCAGTTTAACAAAGCTCCAATCAAACCTGCCGATACCAAAGGTCCGATTGTATTGCACAAGGCGTTCCACCATCCAAATTGCTAGTACCCTTCCAAAATCAACTGGACTGGAAAAAACTTTAACTCCTCGATACATATTGTATATACCTTTAAATTTTTTCGCGTTGTGTAACCATAGGAGTCGATTCTTTTAGGAATTTATAATATAATAGATTGACGTTTAAAATTATTCTAACATTCCTGAAGAGCTCGACTCACGAGAATTTATCCCGTTAAATTTGTGTATTTTTTGTAAATGATAAGTGAACCCAATCCAAAGATACCAATTTTTTTCTCATTAATTGTAAAGTTAAATTTTAAGTTTAGAAAACCATTATTTTGTGTGGGTCAACTTTTATTTAGCATCCAGGAGCGTGTAAATTTGTTTTTGACTAGGGAAAAATACCAGGTGTTTGATTAATTACGAATATGAACAAATCTAGCTAATTAATTAGATTTTCACCAATATATTCAAACAAGTTCATTTATTGAGAGTGATCAAACCAGAGCATAACGTTTTATTTTCAGATTATAAGTGGGAATAAAGAGGTCAGAGTCACTGAAAATTTATTCATTACTGAGATATGTGTGGTATTAATTATTTTATTACAAACAAATTAATTGTTATAATAAAATTGTTACCAGTGCCGTAGAAAATACCATTTATCTTATACAAGCGGGGATGTGTATGTAAATGTAACTAAGCCGTTAC